TCCAAATATGCCACCAAGGCTGTAGGTCAGGAGGGACCTGGGATGTGCACCCATAGGGGCCCTTGGTTTCATCTGGATGACTGAGGTGCCTGGGACTAAGGTCCATAACAGAACACACTTACCTCTGAAGATGGCCATAGGCTGTATCGCTCACTGCCACTGCATCCGAGATAAAAGGCTCTCTAACCCTACAAAACAAGGTGACTTCTTTTTTTTTTTCTGAAACAAATGTTAATAGTAAGGCATTGCAGAAGTATATTATATTAAATATATTAATAATATTATGTCTTATTCCTAGTAGAGAAGAACAGAAGAAAATCTACTTATCTATCACTGTAAAAGAACTTAAAACTGTTTGTGCAAGGGAAGTGGAAGCACTTCATTATCATCTTTGTTTTCTGACATGCAAGATGCAGAATTGCCCCTCATGTTGCCTCATGCACAGACACATGCATGCAAACAGCGTGTCTGGTAGCTGGTCCAGACTTATGACCTTACCAGCAGCCAGCCTTCAGACCTCAGGCTCTCCAGTCACTTGCTTTGACCATCTGCTTTCCTCAAGTAGCCAAATCTCACACGCTCTCATTTCTCCAGTATCTTAGATTTACGCCCACTCTGTCACTTGGCTCCCATATCTCTTACCCTGTATGTTGGCTAGCCTGTCTTCGTATTTGTTAGTGATTACACATTGACATAGGTACCAACATAATATGCACTTCAGTCTCTCCAATTGCTGGCATCCTAAGCCCACAGCCCCTGTCATCTGTGGTCCAACTTCAGCTGCCAGCATGTAGACCTCTATGCACACACATGCACACAAAAACCTGCACCCACGAAAAGTTAGAAACAGAATTCAATGAGAAGACAGGACAGACTGCACTGATCAGGCACAGGGCATGGGCAGCTACGATCAACCCCTGTTTACATGCAACCACCCTCTTTTATCCCCCTATATCTCTCTTTTCCACTCTTTTCTTCCCCAAACCACCCCAATGCCCCTTTCCCCACCTTTGGGTCTTTTCCTAATCACCCCATAATAAGCCTTTGTACAATCCTCATACAATCCCAAGATGTTTTTCCCTGCCTCCAGGCTGTATCCACCTTTAGTCTGCAGGATGCTCCAGAAAACCTCTGTGGCTAACTCACAGTCATAGGTCTCACTCCCAGTCCATGGGCCTGACATCCACCTGGGATGCCTCAGGAGGGACCAGATTTGAGGCTTGTTCCTTTTGGCTTGTCCCTCGGCCGGGTTTGTGGGGTTCCCCCCCCCTGCCGCTGGACTCCATGATCTGTGCTGAGGAGAGCTTTTAGGCAGCTAACCCAACAGACAGTATTCATCAGCTTTACGCATTTCATGATGCAGCTGCCAGTACAATGTGTGCTTGCAGCAAATCACATCCTGGGCTGCATCAAGAGAAGTGTGGCCAGCAGGTCAAGGGAGGAGATTCTCCACCTCTGCTCTGCTCTTATGAGTGCCTGCCTGCAGTACTGTGTTCAGCTCTGGGGTCCCCAGCATAAGAAAGACATGGAGCTTCCTGAGTGGGTCCAGAGGAATGCTGCAATGATCAGGGAGCTGGAGCACCTCCCCTATGAGGGCAGGCTGAGAGAGTTGAGGTTGTTCAGTCTGGAGAAGAGAAGGCTCCAGGAAGACCTTATAGTGGCCTTCTAGTACTTAAAGGAGGCCTACAGAGAAGATGAGGAGGGACTGTTTATCAGGGAGTGCAGTGAGGGGTAATGATTTAAAACTGAAATAGTGTAGATTTAAATTAGACATTATGAACAAATTCTTTACTGTGAGAGTGGTGAGGCGCTGGAATAGGTTGCCCAGAGAAGCTGTGGATTCACCCTTCCTGGAAGTGTTCAAAGCCAGGTTGGACGGGACTTTGAGCAACCTGGTCTGGTGGGAGGTGTCCCTGCCTGTGGCGGGAGGGTTGGAACGAGATGATCTTTAAGGTCCTTTTCAACCCAAACCATTTTGTGATTCAGTTCCAGTATTTTAGTCCTGTAGTTTCAAGATACTTTTATGCTTAATATACATGTAAAGGTTTTATTTAAAAAATGGTTCATAGAGTTTGTAGAGTATTTCAGACTGCTCAAGAACTTTCAAGATCTAAACATGAGTTTTATCTTGGGTTCTGTTAGACAACTGTGAACATGAAGCTTGGATTCTTTTCATCAAGAGCGTAAGAGTGGAAATGAACAGGCAGCATCGGGTCTCCACAGTTCACAAAATTTGCCAAAGTAAGGTTTTACAGCCTTTTAGGTCAGAAATAGTGCCAAAGTGTGCCAAATATCTGTTCAAAGTATTTTACATGAATTAAACTATTCCATGAGAAACTAGTGACTTGACTTGTCTTCACTTAGTTTGGTAGAGTGATGGCTATCTGTGAGAATGTTCTGCTTTTTTGATTTCTGTTCTTGTTTACAAGCATAAGGAAAAGAAGGCTACACAGATTGCTCTCTTAAAAATTCCCTTAAACAAGATGCCTACAGAGAGTTTTCTTCTCCGTATTATACTTTCTAGCACTTACAGTAAAGACCAGCTCCCTTATATTCCTCAGCTCACACACAGCTATGCAGTGTTTTCACATTAACAGGTAACAAATGAGACAGACACAAAACCTTAGTGAATATTAAGCAAACACAGTGAGAAGTCTTATTACACAGTGAAGACAAACTAGACATTTAAGCAGGCTGAATCTCGGATGTGATTAATGTGGCCTAAAGCCACACAGGCTTTGAGCACATCTGAATAGATAAACTTGAGTCCTCCCACAGGAAAATTATTTTGCATGCCTGCTGGCACACACTCTTCCCCCAAAAAGCTGTCTCTCAAGCCAGGCGAGTTTTCAGATCGTGTAACCACTCACTTGCAAGTACTCTACACATACATACACACTGTTACATAGAATAACTGCCCTGTAAATCTCAGATCCCAAGCTGCAGGTGTTCAAAGCTTGCATGTCTTACTCCAGACCCGAGTATTCAGGGGCAGAGCCAGCAGTTCTAACAGCCCAAGTGCTGATGCTTAACTAGGCAACAGATTTTTCTGATCAGATTTCTAGATTTTCTCCTTCTCAAGAAGGACTCAGTGGGAAGGTCCTCGAGTGCTACGTATTTCCTCTACCCTAGCATTTACAAAACAAAAATGAATGCATAATTTCTGAGCATGGCTCATCACTTCATTATTTAATATAGCAGTGGTTATTTTTCTCTGCATTGTTCTAATCACATCCATATAATTCAGTGAACAGAGATGAATTTATTTTTCAGCATCACCTATTTGTAGTTCTGTTTACCCGTGGCTGTGAATCTCACAGTTCTACTACTAGTTCTCCTATATTCCTAGTCACCATCCTCTTCTTCTTCTGGGGTGTCCTTCTGCTCAAATGCTTCTCTGAGTGGCAGAACAGAATCTGATTGTCCAGGGGACAGGTTAGGAAGTGTGGTATCCATATACTTTTGAAAAGCTTGTCTTGTTGCTTGCATTTCAGTTTCCAGGCTGTCATTCCAATCTGTCTTCTCCAGTTCTTGCGTGAAAGCCTTTACCTGTTCTGCTGCTGCTTTCAGCACAGTCATCACTTTTCCCAGCTTATCAAGATTTAGGATCTCTCCTTCTTCCAGCTGTTTTTCAGTCTCAGTCTGATACTCTTTTCCTGTGATACTCAGGGCAATATTAATCTTGTGACATTTTTCTTTGATTAATTGCTCTATACTCTTACAACAAAGTTCCTGAGCGAACATACTTTCTTCTTTGAGTTGCTTTAAGTGCTTTCTATTTAAGAAAGAAAAATAAGACAAGATTTCTAGGGAACACCTGCTATTAAAGATTGTTTTAAAACCAATTTAAGTCTATTCAGGTTGTTGTAAAATCTCTTATTCAACCATAAATATATATGAAATCAGAATGTGATGTAGGACCTGTGAAATAAGGGTGAAAGAAGGCCACCGATGACACAGAGAAAGGCAGCTGCAGACGATTTTAATTCTGTGTCACATCCAGAGATAATTTAACAATGCTTGCTTCCAAATTATATAAAGGTTTATTCTTTCACTTTTCATTCAGGCATCTCTTTGAGCTAGCACTTAAATACACATTGATTTTTTAAGTAGACTTTGAACAGTTCTGTCCCCCAGCAAAAACTCTGTCTTGAAGTGAAAACTAAGAACTGATTTCTAGACTACAGATTCATCGCAATTGTGTTTAAGTGGTACCGAGAACATCTTAGTGCTATCATGTCAGTAATAAAACATATGATTTTATTACGTAGTCAAAACATTATGAGTGCTATTTGCCAGAGTTGGCTCAGGGACATGTAAAGCATGGTGCATCAGGTTACTGAGCCAAATACTTCAATGCAGAGAAAACAGTTTCTGCCCTCTGTTATTGCACTTTGCTGGAGATATTTTCACAGAACTCTGCTAACATGAGAAGTTAAAGAGAACAGCTAAGTTTCTGCAGAATGTGACTTATCTCTGTCAAAAAGGGTATGTTTTAATAGTGAAAATGAAGGTATTAAAACTTAAGTGTGACTCTGTTCAGAAAAAAAAGCGCGCATTTTACAAAGGAACACACCTGAGTTGATCTTTTCACTGTGATAGTGTTACTTTGTTGTTCGTGCCGTCAAAAAATGAAATGTATTCTACTCTTAAGGGAGAGAGGTGTGTTATTGACATCAAAGCTGCTTAACTCACAATGCTTAATCTATATGGGCAGAATCTCTTATGCCCTGCAGATCTCCACATGAACACATCTTTTTCGGTTTTGCATAAATGTCATGAATGGCATGATAGGCCCTTGAGATGTTTGTTTCTGATGACTCTAAATCAATCATAAAAAGCAAAATTTTTGGATCCTTGGCTGGCTTTGTGACACTTGATTTTAGGAAATAAATGTATTCTACTCCTACATGGCGCATCAGCAAAAGAGAGTGAGCCTTCAACTCTTGCTGCTCACTTGACATTTCCAAATATGTTTTTTTTCTAAAGGGTCTATAGGTCTTTTACCAGAAGATCCACATCTGAGCAACACTGATGCAATTTCAGTCATTTTTTTAGCACAGCACATTTGCCAGACAAGTCAGTGGAAACACTAAGAGCACCTGTGCTGCCTGGCTGCTTCCTCCCCTCTCCTGTTTCCTGGCTTCGGCCACCGCTTGCATCTTCTCCTGGGCACACTCCATGAGGATGCGCTGAAGTCTATGAGCCATACGCTGCTCTGCAGCTTCAGCATTTCTCTTCTGTTCATCCTCCGTGTACTGCTGCATCTCTGTCTTCACCTTCCTTACCTCTTTCTTAAGCAAAGTTAAAAGAAGATGTAAGAGCAACAACAATTTATTGTTCAGTCTTTAAACAATCCCCAGCAGTGCCCAGCAGAATGGACTTCAGGAAAATATTACTGGGCAATTACAGTCACCTACTGAAGCATCATTCCATATCATCCATGTTTTCTACATAAGGCACAAAAAGTTCCCCGAAGTATTTTCTTTACAAGCTCACATGGCTGGTGACATCATTTCAGAGCGAGATGGAGAAGCCTGGTCCTTGGTATGCTTGTCATACCAAGATATTGCTTGGGCTTGATACATAAAGGTACGACAACACTAATCTTAGGTGATCTGGGCAGACATAGATAGTATCTGGAACTTCAGACAACTCAATATATAACAATACATCTCTGTTGCCATTGTAGGCCATGCCAAACTCACACTAAGCCTGACCATCCAGGAAAGCAATCCAATCCATTTAACTCCCTGCCAACTGATCTATGCTGCTTTGCCACCATTCCCAGTTCTTTCCAAGACCCCTGACAAGTGCATCCTCTGTGGAAGTGGCAAGACATTATTGAGAAAGCTCTGGATGCTTAGATCTTGGTGGGTTTTCTAATACAGAATGAGTTACATGAGGTATGCCATAAAGCTTCTGCACACCCGACTATAAGCTCTGTATTCTGTGTATTTTTGTGGATACTGGTTGGTTGTCCACTGCTGACAAGTGGGCTGACAAATAATAGGACCTACCTACAAGAAGCCTAACTAAAGCCTTTTGACCATTAGTGGTCATGAAAAAGCTACATCGGCACTGCTGCAAAAAGCCATTCCTGAGGGTACCAGCTGAAAGTAGTGGACTTTGGCTTATCCTATATGCAAAAACACTTCAATCACTTTTTCAGTGAAATATCTCATTGGCTGGCAGTATCTGTTTGCTTAGCCGGGTGCTGAGTAAACTTTGTGGCACCACATCTCCAAGCTGGCTGCTAGTGAGCAGTTAGCTCCCTGTCTTAAGACATCTCTTGAAATGAACTGCAAGAAACACAAACCACCAAATCTAAAACATTGTGCAATTACTTGAGTTCTGTCTGCCTCTTCTTTTGTTTCAGCTGTAAAATTCTGCATCTGCTCCCTAGTCCTTTATCACTGGAGCCAGTGTTATCAGGACAACTGGTACATGTTCAAATCCTGAGCACTTATGTCGTCAAAGATATATAATAGGCTTATGGCAAGTAATCGAATGGTTAAACATGAAGAACTGAGCTTCTGCCAGCTATTGTCGGCAGATGCTGACAGCAAAATACAGAGCTTTCTTGGAAAACAGCTCCATAAAATGGAATGAACTCAGCCAGAAACTTAAGACCACTGTAAACCTCTCTGCTTTTCCTCTTGATATTTGACTGCCTGCAGTATAAAGAGATAGCTATTTAGAAACTTGTTTAAAATAAAATTCCAAAGCAAAACACTCCAGCACCCTTCATCTGCTGGTGGGAGGCTGCAAGACTAAGGATGACAGGTGTTAGATGGACTGCCTAGTGCCTGACTGAGGATTGCGTGGATGCTCTAGTGGTAAAAAGCCCAATGAAGCACTGCAGAAAGCAAGAAGGCTCAGATTCAGAAGGCAGTTGCCTTCCTTTCTCTTTGTATATCTCTAAGTATTTTTTTCAGCTATCCAGACAGCCATATAAAGCATGTGCTAGTCATATATATAAATTCAAAGCTACAGTTGGTGTGCTTCATTTAGGAATTTACATGTGCTGGCAGTTTTCCTTTGCCTCCATCCTACTTAGGGTCCAGATTCAATAAATCAGTTAAATTTCCTTCTTTTGATGGACATGAAACTTCAGAAGAGATTCAAAGTTAACCCTCTGTTTAACTGCCCTTAAGAAATGCACCTTATCAGGTTCAGTGGCTGGCTGAAGCAAGGCATGACAGGGAATTTTCAATTAAGCCCACAAATATCATTCAAGTTAAAAATAGTAATACGTGCTGAAAGTGAATTAAAAATCCAGCTAGGTCAAGCTCACATCTCATCTAGGACAATGACAAAGCCAGTCACCTTTCAGGCCAAGTACTTCTGGCACTAGAGCTTAAATTTCAGATGAATGAGAGTCCTAGTTATGGCATGCATTAAAAAAAAAACCACAATTTTTTTTTTTCATAGAATGACATTGGTTGTCAAACACATCGTTCTGTCATGCCAGCTATTTACACAGTAATGAAAGCAAACTCGTTCATACCCTTAATTCCTTTCAATGTTTTTTTTTAAGGTCTTGGACAAATGCATCGTGGTTAGCAGCTGCCTCTTTGAGAGCTTTTTCCACTGCACATTCCTTGTGCATTTCAGCCTTCAAAACAAGTTATTATTTAAGTATAGCTGCTCACATTCTATTAACACCTAGTACCTAATCAATAGTTCTGTATTTTCTGTTTAAGAAATGAGAGCAAGTTAAATTGAAAACCAGATGGCAAAATACATTTTGGGGCATTTGGCAATTTTATTGTGGTGATTTCTGTTAAAATATGGCCACACAATAGCATTGAGCACACACTATATATATACACATAACATAAAGGGCAGTTTCAGAGTCTTATATAGCACTATGGAGAACAGCTCTAACAGCTTGTAACTTCTGTGTGCTTTAGAGGCCATTTTCAGGCCACATGTAACATTTGTTATTAATTCAAAGTATGCTTTGTTGCGATCAGAAACTGGAGAAATATGTGCACAGACAAATCTGTGAACAAAGGAGGAGCTGAAATTAATGACAGCTTTATAGCAGCGGCCTTGAAGATCTTTATTAACTGTCTCTACACTGTAACATTTACTCCAAAGAATAATCATCATTTAAATGACAGAAGAGTAATTTAATTTACCTGAGACCAAAGTTCAGCTTTCATTTTTTCAATGCGCTCTTGTATCTCTGCTTCTTTCTCTTCATGTTGTTGTTGTTGAATGTCTGCTCCAATCTCTGTACAATCAATACAAGCAGATCACGCACAGCAAACAACCAGAATACAGAAACCCGTGCCTCTCCTCACCCGTTTGCTTGGCTCTGCAACTGAATTAAAAATCAAAAGGCTAAAACTTACGCACCCTCATTTCACATATAGAAGAATACAATTAGTATTGCTTGTGCAGTTCCTTAACAGTAATAGGAAGGTGCTGAATCCAACTCTCACCTCCTGCACGACAGGAGAGCATCATGGGTGTTGCTCCTGACTCCTTGCGCTGACTGCCATCCACACGGGACAAGGAACAGGTCAGTCCTCATCTTTCTTGGGAATGCTTCATGCATTTCTGTCTGCGACTGAACCTCATGGTCGCTCAAGGGATGGCCTTGCTCCCTTTAGATGCCACAGGTGAGACGGTGTCCTCTTTGGCTCCCAGTTCCCCGAGAGTCCTCCAAGGCCTTCAGCAAGGTCTCTTGCCTCGAGATGCCCTCAGATTCCTTCATGTCACATAATAAATATTCTCAGGGGGGTATGGCAGAATATTTCAGGTGTTTGGAACACAGCATGTACACGCAAAGCAATCCCTCTGTCTCCAGGGCTGCTGTGTGTGTCCAGGGCCCAAGCAGCCCCAGTGCTGCGGAAGCAGAGCTAGTCCCTTCTAGAAAAGGGGAGCAAAGCAGCATGGAGGTGAGCCATGACTGCTTCATAGGGCCTAGGCCAGGGATGGTCCCTTTAGCAACATGGATGGGGTCTAAGTAAGGTGTTAGCAACACCATCTCCTCCTGTGGACATACTGGGAAAGCAAACAGGTAGCCTTGCTGACTCATTTAAAATGTTGGTCTTTGGCACCAAGAGAAGACACCGCAGAGCGAGGTGGATAAAGATGCCTTTCTGCAACCCAAAATGTCCCCGTCCCCATGTTGTCATGTCCAATTCCCGTCTCCCCGCAATAGCGGGATTTTGGATCTCCTCTCTCTGACTTTGCTACTTAGTGCCAAGCCTGGGCGTTGTTTTGGACACCATTCTCTGTGCCTGACAGGGCCAACAGTCATATTTTCCTGAGTTATTATAAAGGAAAATGAAAAAGGAATAGAGCCACAGGAGATGTAGCTTTCACACAGCCACTGAGGGATTAAGTATATATATATAATGTGTATATATGTATTATGTATATATATACATATATATAAAACCCCGTCTTTCACTCCAGTCTTTTTCCTCACTTCACTTGGGGGGACTGAGCTCTCTCATGGAGCTAACACAAAGTACATAGAACATAGTAGCAGGATGGGACAAAGGGGCCAACTGATTTAGATCAGCAAAGTAGAAGTCCAACAGTGCATAAATCTTAGCAACAAGCACATTGTGCTCTGACTGCATAGCTCTTCCCCAGTCCATTGTATTAAGCAGTAGAGAGAAAATAATTTAAAAAGAGACTGTCTCTGGCCTTCTGGACATGTTTTACACTCTGTGTGTCAATGCAGGGCTGAAGCCTTGTATTCTGAGTCATGGACAGCACTCACCCTGCCGCCAGGGCTCTCAGAACACTGATCATCTCTTGAGACTGTTTAAAATAGAAACAAAGCACATTCCTCTTCACAACACACATAACTTAAAGCACACAACACGATTTCTACAAAACTTTACACTGCTGATCAGAAACCTCTATGACAATGAGGTGTAGCATGTAAAATACTTAAGATTCTTGCTAGACCCTCAAACGTATGAATGCTTTCCTTCATTGTAGAGGCTACGATTGTGGCACGCCAGAAAAAAAATATCAAACTGCAACAGGCTCTACAAAGCTTCAATCAAAGCTCAGCAGCCAGAATCAGGTATAAGAAGGTAGGATTCAGGATTAAACATACCAGCTGAGCCCTGTTGAAGGATGCTGCGATGATCTTTGCAAATTCAAAGTCAAGCACAGCTCTGCCCATACTACTTGAGCCTTAGAAAACATTTGCTAACCATCTTACAGCTAGTTCTTTTTTGCACTTTATGTCCAAATCTGAACGACTTAATGCACCACAGGATGGCTAATGCTGTCTCCCCTCTGATTATACTGAATTTAATATTCAGAAGGCAAGCACAGTTCTTTCTTACCAAGATGTGAATGCCTTTGTGACTATCAAGAACAGATGGATACAACAGGTCTTAGAGTTTTCCTAAATCTCAGATTGCAAGGAAAGGATTTCAGAAACAAACTTACCCAGTATATCACGATGAGTGTAATATCGTGTTCTGAAAGGCTTATACTTCCGAATCCGATCAACAGTAGCCTTGGAAGGTGGTGGTGGTACCACTCGAGAACATACAGCACAACAAACAAAGGAGTCCAGATCGGGATTACTAATCTTTGTAGTACTCTAGTATTTTTCTGTAATACAGCTACTGAAATGTCAGAACTCTCTTCCTGATAGATCTCTTGCTTGCAGGCAAAACACTTATTGTTGCTACAGAAAACATGCAAGCTGGTGAAGAGAGAAAAGTCATTGACTGTTACGTTTTAGCAAGTCAGCTGAAAGGTCTGCCTTCAGATTAGGATTCATGCATGCTGACAACGCAGTAACACGCTGTAGGCAGAAGATGAGGGAGGCTTGGAAAAAGTGACCCCTCCCAGACTTACTACAGCTCCCTGCGTAGCAACTGTTACTGCCCAGGGCTGGCTTTGCTCACAAAGAACCATCTTTCCCCAGTAATAGTTAAACAGCATTCCAGCAGGCTTTGGCTTGTTAATGATTTTTTTGTTGTCGAGCATCAACAATTCCCGTTCAAATCATGTAGTCTAAAGAGATTTTAGAAGCAGTATAGTAACTCCTGTTTCAGATATTCAAATCATAGCATTTTGGTGCTGTTGTATGTAAAGATGAGAAAGCCGGCACAGACAGTGAGAGGCTGGCAAAGAAAGAGCCTCTGCCTGGGAAATCAATAAGAAGACGCTCCTTAATAATAAGGACAGCTCTGAACTAACCTGGTTAACAGGACTTGACTCCAGCCAAGAGATAAGAGGCCCCATCTCAGACAGCTTTCCTATGAAGTGCCATGGGCATGCACGTTGCCTAGACCCTGCCCAGGTCAGTCCCACATCTTTCTCTGTCAAACTTCTGCCCCGCTTCCTGTTGCCCAGTAATTTCCAGATGCATAGTCACTTCCTAAAACATAATTCAGAATTTTGAGAACCCAATTCCTGCGTTATTCCCAAATACGTTAAATTGAGACTAGGCTTTCTCACTTCAGATCTGCAGGTAGAAGGATCAAAGTGTATATTTTAAAAGCTTGCAGAAAAACAGGTTAAAACGCTTACTGTGGCACTGATTTTGGAATAATTCCATTAAGTTTATGCAAACATACGAGACATGCATTTTAACGAAGAGAGCTAAAATACTGTGTGCCTCTTTTAGAAGATCAGATTCATTCTAAAGATCCATTACCACCCATCACACAATATATATTCTACAGGAGATGCACTGTACGTGATAGCTCTGAATATTTGATCAATTCACCAGGAAATTCCTTCACCAATCAAAAGAAAAGTACTTTCCTCACCTGTGAGCTTTTGGATTCACCTAGGACCTTTGCTGTTGTGAGGCAGCTAGGCTCACAGAGGGGACTATGCTTTTAAAGGCTGTAAAGATGCTATTCTTTATAGCTTTATCGATGGTAAAGCCCAATTCCCTTCTCGGGAAGGAGGTAATCAAACCAAGGCCCAGCTGAATTTAGGATACAGGTAACTATAAAACATAAACAGGAGGAACATCACAGGTTCAAAGTGAAGAATTTAGAGGGAGATACAGAGAAATCCCACAGAGCAACTGCTGTCCCTCAAGGCAGTTAGTCATATTTTTTATCCTCAATAACAAAACCCATTGTAATTGTAATTGTAATGTCCCTGTGTGTTCTTTCTTCTTTGGCCTGACAGAAGTCACCTTGGCCAGAAGTAGGTTAACAAATAGGTCTCTCAGCTTCTTGAGAGCCCTTAATGGAGCTGTAAATATGAGGAGCTGAATAGTAAAATGCAACCAAAGCGTTAGTAGGGTTTGTGTTGGAACAAGGGCATGGCCTGGCATGTGCCCTCCCACCACACGTTCTGGAGTTTGGTTATGGAATACCACCCAGGAAAGGTCAGGCATGCAGGAACAGCTGGAGAAGCTCATAAGAGAATGCCTCAGTGCTGGAATGGAAGAGCACCCACAAGTACAGTTTGCTCAAGGCAAATGCTCACAGGGGACCCTCCCATGTGCTGAAGAAATGCCACAGCGTTCACCTGCGCTCTGGCCACACGCACAGTGGCACCAGCCAGTGGACTGCTGAGGGCCCCCTCCAACCCACATGTGGGGCTGTTCGGGACAACCGGGCTTGTTCAGGTGGATATGTTCTTCTCTTTGTGTCTGTAAGAACCTGTTTATTTGAGACTTTCCATACCATATTTTGAAGTCAGTAACCTATAATAAATTATGTTATCTAATGTACTTGGCAACATAGAGAAATTTGATTTTTGAATGCAGCTTAAATAACCTGGTCCTGCTGACCAGTCAGGAACACTCCATGAGTTTTAGCTAACCTGAAGTTATATATATCGACTTGCAAGCTGATACTGGTACGATCACAGATCTGCTGTCTGATGCCAATCGGGAAAGGTAATCCCTGAGTTCTTCCTGCCTTTCTCTGGGCAAAAGCACTTGTTTCACTTTTTCTCCTCTATCTAGCTACTGATTTTTTCTTCATTTGAAAGGACGAGTATATTAGCATCCAAGGATTACTTTGGCCAGTATTTTGCAAAAACTTTTATTAAATAAACACCTTAATTCTTAAAATTATTTTACTTGCACCACTGTGCAACTTTCAACAGAACAAAACCACCTTTTTCTTTTCACACACAATACATTATGCCTTCTGTTTAAAAAATAAAAGACAAACCTGTGTTTTCACTTAAAGCAAAGAGAGAAGTGAGTTGAACTATCACGTAAATTTTTAAGGCATTTATTAGTCTCGACTGCATGTCTGAGTTAACAGCATATCTTCTGACATGCCATGGAGGTCACAGATAACTCTTAAAATCATTTTTATGTTTGTATGTATCTTAATTGCAATTTATTTGTACAGACATGGCCTTTTATAATGCAACTTAATTCTGATTAAATGGCAAGAGAGACCTTTATCCATTATTCAACAGAGATAAAAAATAGTAGTTGCCTTGAAAATTTCTGAATTGCTGTTTTTGTTCCTTACGTCCTCAGTCCCACTTGGAAGTTTTCCTCCTCATATACCTAGAGCCCTCACTGTCGATTGCTTCATAGAGGTCCTTTTTATTCTCTGCTGTTGCATGCAAATAGCCAAGGTAGGCCACACAGAGTGTAATTGCTGCGAGTCCAAATGCCATCACAGGTTTGTTCTGACAAGAAAAAAAATAATTAGTGCATGTTCTTAGTCAAAACATTTTTAATTCAACACAAACATTGCATTCTTCTCTCTTAGCTTAGAAAGCGAACAGTAAACTATTGAGACATCTGCAAAAATCAGCATTGCCTTCTTGCAGACTGATCCAAGTGACTTTGATAAGTAGCAAAAAGGGAGACTTGATTTTCTGATAGCAAAAGGAATTTCCTTCGGAAAAAAGATGACTCTTTCTGGAGACAGAACACTGAGGTGGCTAGTGCTCTGCCCTTTGTTGGTTGCAAATGCTGCCTGAACACGAATGAACAGGCCAACATTAATTACTAAAGGTAACCGCTACAAACTTCTAACAGAATTAATGTGGATATACAACGCACTCCTGCCAAGCAACTGTGATGACAATACATGATCTGTTTTACAGGAATATAATCAATTTACAGGAATATAATCAATTGATTATATTCCTGTAAAACAGATCATGTACTGTCATCACAAAATCTGCTTTTATTAAATATGCACAAAATTTCATCCTGTCTTGCTGGGTTCTGCAAGTGTAAATAAAACCTGAGTATCATCAACTTAATTATAAAAGCAAGAAAAAGCCACCAAAAAATCTCCCCTTTTCATTATCAAAATGCTTGCATTTTATGATTTGTTCCCTTTTAAATAAAGAGGACTTTATTACTTAACCTGTTCAATATACCTATAATATGCCTGTAATCAATCTTTCTGAAAGCAGCTTGGCTGTTACAAAAAGAATTAGACAATGTAACAGTGAAATAAAAGCTGGAATAAACAATCTAATGTTCTGGGCTCTTAACAATCAGAGTGGAAAGAAAGGAAAATATTCTTAGTTACATTACTGACTGGTTTGCATAAGGAGAGGTTACACAATGCACACAGAATTGCCATGACTGTTTTAAAGCAACGGTGTCTTTCCAAGCATATTTAGTTTCTGTCAGAATGAGCCTCTTACAGGTTTAATGAAAAGTTCTGGGTTCACAGCTCGAAAGAGCATAGTTGTCTGAACACTCCTCAGTCCTGGTTTTCTGTCTTTGGGTATTTCATTTTCATTTGGAGGTTTGGTGGAAGACATTTTAATTAATGCTGAATGCTCTCTAAAAAAAAAAGAAAAATAGATGTCATTTTTATAAAAAACTGAGAGAACTACTCTCACTGAATACGAGTTCACGCTCATCTTGTGTTCTTACAGCACGAATTTTCATTTGTGTATATATTAATGATTTCCTTTTGGCATTATCTAACATTCGCAGCTTAAGCACCGATTTTAAAATCCTGTCAATTTTGTGCATCCTAAAATCAGCGTTTGGAGATGCACATCTTTATACAGCAAATGTAAGTCCCCTGATAACAGGCTTGGGGTTTTAACTTGTCTTTTGCTAGTGCTTTAGCTACTTGTGGACCAAGTAGCTGTCTTCAGACCACTGGCTAGAAAGACAATGCCAGGGAACACTTTTTAAACCCTTACATCTGTCAGGACAGCCCACACTCCACTGTAGTCTAGTGACTCCATCCACCTGCTGCAGCAGCCCTGGGACTCAGGTCAAGGGGCAGGTCCCCTGCAGGATGATACCTGAGCAAAGGGGAACAAAACACACGCTTGGGTAACTCTGCTTACTGAGGGGTAGAGGAGACATTGCTAAGGACCCCCTTGCCCTGTAGTTTACTAAGTGGAGCACAGCTGCGAGCCCTAGAGGCAGGACTCACAATCTCAACCCAGCAATCACTAAACGGCTTGGGTTGGAAGGGATCTTAAAGATCACCTAGTTCCACCCCTCCTGCCATGAACAGGGACCCCTTCCATGAACAGGGACCCCTTCCACCAGGCCAGGCTGCTCAAAGCCCCACCTAACCTGGCCTTCAACACTTCCAGGGAGGAGGCACCCACAACTTCTCTGGGCAACCTGTTCCAGCGCCTCACCACCCTCACAGTGAAGAAATCGCCCCGGGCCTCCTCCTGCACGGCCCTAGGCACTGCAGGCACAGCAGGGCAGCGCGGAGGCCGGCTGAAGGCGACCGTACAGGCACAGGGCACGGCC